TGGATTTGCAATCACACCAGTGTCTCCACTAAAACAGCCCAAATTCCTTTTCATACTCTTGCCACTCCAGCCCAGCCCTTGCTGTCTATCTCCTGCACATGGGGAATTTGGAGGATTTGAGGTTTAGTCCAAGCTGTGTCTTTATGCTCCTTTCTTTCTTCCTTCCTGTTTACAGCTTTTGGTTTTTTTTTACACATAGTATCTGCACAACCAGGTACCCCTGGGTTCAAACAAACAGCAGCAGGGATGGGAAACCACCATGTTTCTCTAAAACAGCTGAAGCATAACAAAGAAAAGTTTCTGGGAGGTCAAACCAGACATTTCCACAGTGGATGCTCATAGAGGAAGGGAGGCTCTCAAGAAAAAAAAAAAAGTTGCTGCACTGCTTTATGCAGTCTTGGGACAGACAACCAACCTCCTTTCTATTGCTATGATTTTTCCAGAACCACGCTGACGAGAATGAATTCCGTAGACTGCAGGGAGGCAAGGTCCTTGAGCAGCTTTCTGGAAAGAACATTATATATGTTGAAAAAGCAGGAGGTACCTTTCTCTTCCTGCAGGGACTCACCTCCTCTTGGGTCCCAGTCTCTGGAGAAAAGATTTTTTTAACTTGGTACTCATCCCCACCTTAGCACTGATACAACATTTTCAATGAGCACATTTTATGTCAGGCCAAGGACTCCTCTCTTTGTTGTTCCTGTCTGCCTGTCATTTGGTTTCTGTACTGTCATCTGTCTCCTTGTGCTGTCCTTTGAGCTCTTCCTTTGCTGAAAGCCCATTCCCCTTTTTCTCTCTAAGTAGCAGCCTTTGTTGTGGCTAATTTGCCTTCATTCATTCCCCCATATTTTCCCTTTCTTTGCAACAATTTTAAAGGTCTCTTTTGTTGGGCATTTTTGATATTAAGAACCACAGTTTTGTAATACCCAGTCTTTCTCCATCACACACACTGGTACCAGGCCAGGCTTTGTATCTGGCCCCAAACCATTTTTGCTGTGCATGCTGGCCTGCAAGGGCAAGTGCCATGGTCTTCAGTGGGCAGAGTACATGTTCCTCAGAGTGTTTGACCATGGGTGCACACGAGATCCAAAGGGAGCCATGCCAAGATAAATACCCCTCCTCAGGCCTGCAGCCAGAATATATTGAAGCAACTCCTCATTTCTGGATAGGAGTAGCAGTGGGGTCTCTGCCCTGGAGCACAGCTCCCCAAAGCACAGTCAAGAGCCTTAGCCAAGACTGGGACTTCCTTTGATACTGGGGCACATTGAATGCTTTTTGCTTAATTGCCTGGGACAGACACAGGAGTTTGAGACCTATGGGGAAAAAAAAGGGGAAATCCCATCACCCAACAGGACTTCCCAGGTCTGTCCTTTGGTGAAGCTGTGTTTTCTATGACACTAGAGAAGCTGGACTGGGGGCTGGGAGCTCAAGGAGCTCCCAAGAAACACATCAGGCTTCAGCACACACAGATGATGGTGAGAGTCACCAAGCTGACGGCAGTCACCAAGCTGATGGGAATCCATGTTTCCTACAGCTTTCTGTCACGTTAGCCATAGCTGGCCAAGGGGCTGTCGGTGCTGGCTGGCCAGCAAGCACACACATTGATCAGTGGCTGCTGGCCAGCTGGCCTCTGCAGCCAAGCCCTGCTCTGCTTTTGGTCAGCAAGGATGCTCACTGCATCTCTCCCTATCAGCTGTTGAGTCTCAGGAAACCTAAAAGGGGTGGGAGGGGACTGCTGACTTGGGAGACAGCATGAGATATGGGAAGGGGTGCCCCATGGCAGTGGCCCCTGCACAGCTCCCTGTTACATCAAGCACTCCGCTGGTTTACAGCCCTTGCCCTTGAGCCTTGGCCCTGCAGCCTGATGTGGCGTGGACACATTGCACAACACTCTTGGCAATGAGTGGCAAAGCCCCTTTCCTGCAGGGGCTGCCCACAGGCCGGCTGCTGGGAAGTTGAGCTGTTGCTGCAGCCTGCAGATTCCCAACATGGAGGAGAAGATGCTCCATGCACCCATGTCTCCAGCAGGGCACTGAGGAGGTGGCAGGACCAGAAAGGGTCCCTGAGGACCTATTCAAGCCTGCTGGTAGAGTAGCTCTTAAGGGAGCATGGCAAGGGAAGGAGGGCCCCTCTGGAGGGTTGGAGAAGCTCAGCCTCCCCTCAGGCAGCAAACCAGCAGGGCTGCATCCAAGAGGTGCAGGAGCCACCAAGTCCTGTACCAGGATGTGCTGGGGTAAACACCCATTGAATGAGGAAGAAAAGCCAAGGGAGACGTGATGGGAGAGTAGGATCCTCCTTCCAGAGCTGTCTGTCATGGATGGGACTAGTTCTTACAACACTCCCCCAAAGAAAAGCAACGTGCAGCCTATTCCTCATGCCAGGGAACAAGCTTGTCTCACCCCCCTGCAAAGCAGGAGGGGTGTGGGGAAAGCTGTGGGGAAATCACAAAGATCACTGCCCAAGGCCCCAGCACCCAGCTAAATATAGCCACTATCTTGGCTTCCCAGAGATAAGAGCCTGTGTCCACAGTCTGCCACAATGCCCTGCCCAGACGTCCACCTACCTTTGCTTCAGGGGCAAACACAGCCACAGTTGTGCAACCCCTGCCTGATCACAGCAAACAGGGGCAGAAATGCACCTGAGCCAGCTCATGTGCATTCTGTGCCTGGCACTGTGGGCTGGCTGGGCAAAGCCTGCACAGCCCAGAGCAATCCTGCATCTCCCTCATCACCTCAATGGTGCCCAGCTGCCAGCAATGTGCAGGAGAAACTTGTGCTGGACCACAGTGACGAGCGTCAGTCAGGCTGGAACTTCCACCACTTTTGGGGCTCATCCCATTAAGTCCAGCACTTCCAGCCAAACCTCTCTGCACCAGTGACGCTGAGCCAGGGTGTAGTGGCTCTGCCTGGAGAAGGGGAGGCAGCACTGCAGGGGGTCCATGGGCCATGTTCACCTTATCCCATGTCTGTCTCCTGGGGAAATCTGAACATGGGTCCCTTCATCTCTGCTGCAAACCCTGTCATTAAGTAACACATGCTAAAATCCCACCATACCCTCAGCACGTGAAATATTACTGTAAATCTGCAGAACTCCTGCAACAGGTACATCTTTCAGCTCTCTCTCCCCAGCTTTAAATCCTACCATTGGTTTTATCAAAAAAGAATTTATGAAACAAAAAAGCATGTTTTTTTTTTCCCCAACGAAACCCTTTTGCCTTGCAGAGTAATAAGTTTTTTAAATGGCAACTTACAGCAGGAAGTCTCCAGCTTTAACAATAGCTGTCTGTGTTTCCACAAGTTAATGGAAAACAAATGTTGACACTTCAGTCTTTCTCTCTGCTCTGCAAGGAAGGTGAGAGAGAGCATTGCTTGCAGCTGTGCAGTTAGAGGCCAGATGTGGCACAAAAAGTATCCTCACTGCTACCATGGGGAGAAGGCAAATGCACCATCCCTACCTTCCCGCAGGCTTTACAGCCTCTGCTGCTTCCCATTGAGGGTGGCATTTGTCCACAGAGTCACTCCCCTGACAGGGAGGCCAGCTCCATGCACGCTTTCCAAATTACTGAGGACACTGGGATCTGTGCTGACATGGACTTGGGAGCAGCCCAAAGGAGCAGAAATGGGAACTGGAGGTGGGAGGACAACTGGGAAGACCCCTCGGCCCAGCTGGCCCTGCAAACCAGTCTATGACAGAGCATTGACTCACCTGGCAGATGCTTCCAGCTCTGCACATGGGCTGGATAGAGATTCCCATGGAGCTGATCTCTTTGCCAGCCAGGCCCTGTTGGTGTTTTTTCCTCATGGATGGAAGCCACCTCTACAAAAAAAAAAAAAAAAGCTTTTTTTTTCCCACTGCACATTGTAAATATTGTATGGAAAGCAGATTTTTGAGTGTCCTTTGGAGACTTCTACCCAGGGCCAGCACAGCTCCGGCGCTGTGGCTGCAAGACAGGAGTGTGAGAGTCACCCTCCTCCCCAGCTGGCCCTGAGCACCCAAACACCCTGGGCCGGCTCAGACAGAAGACTGGTGCCCCCAAAAGGCTCTCCTGTCTCAAGAGCACATTCCCGAGGGTTTAGCTGCTTACTTGTGGCACCTGGAAAGCCTACTCTGCCCTCCCCAGTTTTGTCCCCTCAGTTCAGGAAGGACACGGAGGTGCTGGAGCGGGTCCAGAGAAGGGCAACAAGAAGGTGATGGGTCTGGAACATAAATTCTTAGAGGAGCACCTGAGGGAGCTGGGAGTGTTTAGTCGGGAGAAAAGCAGGCTCAGGAGAGATATTAATCACTGTCTACAAGTACCTGAAAGGAGCCTCTTCTCCCAGGTAACCCGTGACAGGACAAGAGCACATCGTCTTAAGCTGCAGCAGGAGGTTGGACATTAGAAGGAATGGACATTAGAAGGAATTTCTTCACAGAAAAAGGGTGGTTAGACATTGGAATGGGCTGCCCAGGGAGTTGGTGGAGTCACCCTTCCCGAGGTGTTTAAGGAAAGACTGCACCTAGTATTTAGTGCTGTGGTTTAGTCGACATTCTGGTGTTCGGTCATAGGTGGGACTCAATGATCTCAGAGGTCTTCTCCAGCTAAATTGATTCTGTGATTCTGCACACGCAGGGACAGCAACCTGGCGCAGGAACCAACGGACAGTGAGGGACTGGGGGCAGCAGACGCCGGACACAGAGCTTGTCACTTTACCACAAGGAGCTTGCCGTGCCGCGGGTGAGTGTCGGCGCTGCTCGGCGAGCTCCCCGCGCCCGGCAGCCCCACCGCGGCCCCGGGAGCTCCTCCGACGGGCAGGCTGCCATCCCTGCGCGGCCCCTCAGGGCCCGCCGCGGCCCCGCCCACCGGCTCGGCCCCGCCCACCGGCTCGGCCCCGCCCCCTCGCGTGCCGGGCTCCTGCTCTCGGAGCGTGCTGATTGGCTGCCGCCCTGTGGGGCGGGGCCGGGCGCCCTTAAGAGGCCGTCGCGCTGGCGGGCGCGGCGCGAGGCGGTGCTGTCGGAGTGGCTCCATGCACTGCACCAGGTACGGGGGCACCGGCACTTCCCCCCGGCGCTGCTCTGCCCCTCATCTCCCCTCTGCCTTCCCCGCCTGCTCGGCTCCGCAGCCTCCTCGTGTGTGCGGGAGCGGCTCTGGCCCTCCCCGCCACGGCGGTGCTGCTCCTGGGGGAAAGCGGGATCCTGCGGCTTGGCTCCTGCAGCCCCCCGGCTGAGGCGGGAGCGGAGCCCCGGGGCTGTCCCTCCGCGGGGCTCCGCTGCTGCTGCTGCTGCCGCTTCTCCCGGCTCTGGGCGGCGCGGCTTGGCTGCTGTCGCGGAGGGGGCGGGCTGTAGCGAGGGAGCGCCGCCGGGCAGACGCCTGTGGGAAGCGGGCTGTGCCCCGGGGGTGGCCCGGCCCCCCGAATCGGGGAGGAGGAGGGCGTGCAGAGCCACCGAGCGCTGCTTCGGCCCTGCCACGGCTGCGAGCTTTGGCTCTGCGAGTGCTGCACGGCCAGCCGTGGGCGAGGGCTCATCTGTCCCCGGGTAGCAGGTGGGAGGCAACCGGAGGGGGTCGATAAGGGAGGTGTAAGTAATTCCTTGGCTCTGGCTTAATTCTTTTTCGTAGAATGGCAGGAGGGAGCAATGAGTGGCGACAGATATCCCTCTCTGGAGAGGGTAAAGCTACAGGAGGAAGTCTGGGGCAGAGTCAGGTTTGCTCTCCTTTTGATGGGCTGTGGAAAGGATTTGGCCCCTGTACCTGCATAGGGCTCCCTGCCTGCACTTTCTGCTTCCTGGAGCTTTATTTCCTGAAAAATTTCCAGCTCTTAAAACTATATTCCTGCGCCCACCTCCAAAGCATCTGGAGTTCAAGACAAGCCTCCTCAGCCCCAAAGGGGAAACCTGCGTCTGGCTGAGAGCTGGGCGTTAGTAGACTCTCCAGTGCAGAAAAAGTTGTCTGGATTATCAAATGAACTGGCTGTTCATTCCTGCTCCTACAAATATGCTTCATAAAAGCACAGGGCTCATGCTCATAGTTGGTTATGACAGGCTCTTACTATAGTTTTTGGCTTGGAAAAAAGCTCCAGGTTATGCAGCTGGGCATTCTATGCCTCTTCATTCTAAAACTGTGAATAACCAAGGCTTCCTAAGAAACCTGACTTCTCAGAAGTTACAGGAATTCAGCTGAATAAATTTCCCTGGGAAAAGATGCAATGCAGATGAAACTGACCCCAGAGAAGAAGCATTGGGAGCTGCATTAATTTCAAGGAGGAAATGACCTATATAAAGCGTGTGTGAACAAAAACTTGGCAAAACCAGGTAGAGATGAGCAGAGTAGTGCTAGCAGACAGGTGGCTCTGAGGTGTCTGTTTTGTGTAGCTGAAAGGAGGCACTGCAGAAGGAGTTGGCTGGTGGGTGTGTTGGGATGCGAGCCTTGGCACATGTGCTCTGAATAAACAGATACCCTTGCTGAGTGGATGCTGTGAAAGCCTGCTCAGAGCTGCGGTGTTGGTGTTACAGGGTGGGGAGTTAAAGCACTGAATTGGAGAGTGTGGCTCTTCTTTTTCTTGGCACGGGAGCAGCAATCAAGTACTAGAGCTGGCTGTGCGTGGCTTTGGCAGCCAGAACTCTGCTGCATCACAAGGCCAGTGGTCGCTGCTGCTGTTGCTGCCTCATCCCTCTCTGTGTGGTGGGAGCAGCTTTGGAACCTGGCCTGCTGCCAAGCAGGAGTTTTATTAAAGGAATACTCTGTGTTTAAAGTCAACTGCAATACAGTTGACTTAAGGGGGATGTGTGTGATAAATTCATCCAGCAGTTTATCCAGAGCCAGGCCAAAGAGAGAGTCTGCCAAAAGCATCCATCGGAATGTCAGTGTAAGGGCAGGAGCGATGGATGCAGTGTTCTGAGGGCTGCCTGGCTGCAGAGGCATCTCCAGGGTACCTCTGGCAAAGTGCCCTTCTGTGGGTGCATGGGGAGGGAGAGAGATGGTGCTGCCTCCCTGGAGGAAGAGGCTGGGTGCTGCAGGGGAGGCTCTAGTGGAGGGGCACATGGCCCCTGCCTTCTGGGAGAAGGAATTGCTTCCAAAGCTTCAGTGAACCTCGAGTAGGTGAGTTGTGTTTGGCAGAGCACTGTGGCTCTATGGATGTTTTCCAGGTGTTTAGTGCAATCCCTGTGGAGGCTTGAGGGGCAGACTCTGTGCTGGAGGTAAAACTGGCTGATGTGCCTTCTGAGCTGATGTTATTTTCAAATGGATAGAGGGAAGAAAGCTCCAGAGCCGTGTTGGCTGAGCCTGTGCCCTGCTGCTGTGTCAGACTGTTGCTATCTTTGCAACACTACTTGGAGGCACTTTGGATGGAGCAGTTCTGGGGGACAGTGATGAGCAGAGTGTGTAGCTCAGCTGAAATGAGTGCTTTTGGCTGACATCTGGGGTTTTATGAGAGGTGAAGTCAGTTGTGTATGGCAGCTTGTGACAAACTGAGTTCCTACTTGTACAAAAGCTTGTGAAGCCCTGGAGAGAATCTCTCCTGAAGGGAGGCAAGCACAGCAGGAGTAGTGCTGAAATTCGATAATCCAGGGATTTTGTGAGCATTGGCAGGACTGAACCACGGGCTTTGCTTTGGGTTGCAAATGCTCTGGAGCCTGCTATTGCTAGCCTAGTAGGACAGTGCCTGTGTGTGTGCCTTCAAAGGGTGATTTTGTCCCTGTAGCAGTTGGAAGAGCTGTTCAAAGGCACAACAGGCTCTGGTCCTGCCACTTCTCTAGTGTTTTTGTCACAGTGTCAGTAAATCACACCATGCAGATACCTGCCTTTAATTAAGAAGCAAGCTTATTTGGGATGCCCTGGGGGGAAAAGTGATATATCAACTGTCTGACAAAATTTGTATTAAAGTGCTTTTCTGGCATCAACTGACCCTTCTTCTCATCTTCCAGAGTGTTAGACTATTTCCCTTACAAGCAAGCAATGGCTGTGGACGTGGCCATGCAGCTGTACCTGTGCTCCTCACCCTTGCGCAGAGAGAAGTGCACCTGCAAAATTGCTCCAAAGGCCAGCAAGCCGCTGCGGCCCTGCATCCAGCTGAGCAGCAAGGCTGCCCTGAAGGGCCCAGGAGAGACAGCAAACTCCTTCCCACACAGCAAGGCGAAGAAGAGGGTGTCCTTTGCAGATAGCAGAGGCTTCGCTCTGACCATGGTGAAGGTGTTCTCGGAGTTTGAGGATCCGCTAGATATTCCTTTCAACATCACAGAGCTGATAGACAACATCGTGGGCCTGACAACCGTGGAGAAGGACAGCTTCGTCCTGGATTTTGTTCAGCCCTCCGTAGACTACCTGGACTTCAGGAACCGCCTCCAGACAGACTGTGTCTGTCTGGAAAACTGCATGCTAAAGGAGAAATCTATTGTGGGAACGGTGAAGGTGAAGAACCTCGCTTTTGAGAAGACGGTGAAGATCCGGATGACGTTTGACACGTGGAAAAGCTTTGTGGATCACCCGTGCCAGTATGTCAAGGATACGTATGGAGGGTCGGACCAGGACACGTTTTCCTTTGACATCAGCTTGCCTGAGGGGATTCAGTCGCACGAAAGAGTTGAGTTTGCCATTTCCTTTGAGTGCGATGGCAAGGTGTACTGGGACAACAACAGGGGCACAAATTACAGGGTCATCCGGTCAGAACTGAAGTCTGCCCAGGAAGCTGTCCGTCCCCCCCAGGCTCCTGACTTCGGCAGTGCATTTGACCGGTTTGGGAGCCCTCGGTGCTCCTATGGCCTCTTTCCTGAGTGGCCCAGTTATTCAGGCTACGAGAAGCTCGGGCCCTACTACTGACCCGAGGACAAAGGCCAGGCTGACTGACTGCTGCTGGTGTGTCTGCAGGCCTTGGGGCTGGCCTGAACACAGGTGGATGAATAGGTGGAAGAAGAATGGCTCTGTGTAGCTTAGCATAAGCCTCCCAGCAAAACCAGATGGGCGGTGCTCTGCTGGCAGGGGGCTTATAGTCAGAGCAGCAAATCTGGCTCTCCAGATGCTCAGAGGACCAAGGACTGCTCATGTCTCTTCAGCACTTCTTCTTCCTCTTCAGTAAAGGTGCCAGTGTCCAGGGAAACACTACAGTGCTTATATTTTCTGTTCAAGCTGTGTAGTGGTGGCTGCTTTGTACTGCCTGCCTAGTATTCAAAATATATCCTTTTATTACATTGTTAGTGGGCTCTACTACAGCTGCTGGGTTCTCCTTGCAAAGCCAGCCTGTGCCTGTCAGGAAATAGTGTGGTTGGATTGCTGGGAATGGAGTCCTCTCTTTGCACATATCCTTGTAGTGAGGCCCATCCTACTGGAGGCAGAAAGCTGTTTTGGAAGTGAAAATGCAATATGATGACAGGAAGTGTGGCCCTACAGCCTGCTGTATTAGGAGATGTGCCTGTGGCAGAGGATCTGATATGCTTAGTCACTGGTTGTTATATCAGATGATCTTGAAAATCTCTCATACCATTGGTGTTACCAAAAATAGAGATTAGCTGTGGCTGTGTGGTGCTTGTGACACAGCTGTGGGTTGACATCCTTGACTGCCTTCTTCAAAACCCTCCTGTTGGTTTAATCACCTGTGACCAATGATGCTTTTTCCCCTTGATGGACATCTGAAATTGGCTGTGCTGGACCCTGAAAATGCATTTCATCCTCCTATGGAATGTAAACCAGCGTTTTGTCCAGCTGGGGCCCAGGGTCCTGTGCAGGGGACTCTGCTCAGGTGCTATAGGAGCCAAACACAGCTGGAGCCCGTGGCTGTCTATGCTGTGTCCTGTACAGGAAGGTGACTGTTGTGTACCTACTGTGTCATGGAAGTGCCTTGGATGAGAAAGGGGTGGTATGTGCAATCCCAGCAACGCTTTGGGATGAGCAGGCTTCGGAGCTGGTGTTGCTTTTAAGATCTGGTAATGGTTTGTTCCTCTGTGCCATGGACTGCTTGGCAGATACAGGCACAGCACTGCTCACATGTCAGGGTGCTGTGACTGTCCTGGATGAATGTGCTGGGCTTCCCTCTGTGCTGAAGCAGTATCTGCCAGTTTGACCTGCAAATGCCCAGACTTTGCATCGCTGGCCGTAAAAAAGCTGGCTCACCCCAGCTATGCAAAGAACTAGCCACAAGGAGAGTGAGATGTGGGGTTATCCTGACAGCACCCCTGCATGTGAGACAAATCACAGATGTGAGCCATCTCTGTCATTAAAGAGGTGGCTTGGCTTCTGGCTGTGTGTTGGGCTGGTGAGCTCAGCAGTGCCAAGCAGCCTCACAGAGCTTCTTGGGTGCTAACCTAGCAGAATAACTTAATCCTTCAGTTCAGAGAGAGAGAGAGTGCTGAAGAGTCTGTACAAATAGAGGTCAAGGGAATGCTGCTTTTTCTAGTGCATAAGCTTTACATAATTTTGGGTGCCTCTAGTAGCCTGTGGATGTGCTGGAGAGAAGCAACAGGCTAGACTACTTAACTTTGTTAACATAGCTTTTAATTCTGGAGACTACTGTGCAAATACCTAGAAGCTGTTTTACTCTAACCTAGAAGGGATACTGGGATCACTGTTGGATATCAAAAGGGACAGGAGCTTGCAGGAAGAATAGCTGGCCTTCAACTGCTGTTTTTTCAAAATACAGAATCAGTATGTGTCCTCAGTGTGCCTGATCACTTAGCTGAGGTGGTGAATCTCCTTGCTAGCCCAGAACTCATCAGGTTCGGTTCCTCTGTTCAATCTGCTTCCCAAGTCAGCCCTTAGAGCCTGCATCTGATCTCTCTGGAGGGGACTGTTGCCTAGCTTGGCTTGGTTTTAAACTTGAGGCAAGTTTGTGTGGCACTGATACTTTTTATTTATTTAGTGTATGGTGTTGATGTTGTAAGACACTTGGCTGTAGAAAAGTCATGTTCTCCTGGCACCTTCTTGTGCTCATGGAGAGCTGTTTGTGAGCCTGAACAAGGCATGTGGGTCTGGGGTGCTGTGGATGGTGGTGTCCCCTCATGGGCTTGTTTTCAGGCTGTGCCTTGGGTGTGCTTAGGGAGGAACATGGAAGATAAGCTAGAAGAGCAGTGCCATAAGTAAAAGCTAGGTTGGGAACTGACTATCTGATCAATAGCAGTTTAAAAATGCTACTTGTGGCCTTTCCCCTTTTCCCTTTTTCCATTGCCAATGTGAACATAGAAGTGAGGGGGTTGCTCTCCTTGCTCTATGCCTGGAAGTGCCTTGTAGGATGTTTTGCATGTTTGTTTTTAAAAGATATTTTTGTACACAACATTCAAGTGGAAAATGCACTTTATAATTGCCATGTAATGACTCTTTTAAAAATATGGCTGTTTTTATCTGATTGTTAAAATAAAGGTGGAACAAAATGTTGGCTGTGTATCTTATTTAAGCACCCATGGGGCTGGGGAGGCAGTTTGGACACGGGTCCAGCTTCCTGCAAGTGGCCATTGGCAGGGAGGAGCACACATCCACCCTGAATTCTGCTACAGGAAAGAGCTGCCTGTTCCTGCTGCCTTCCTGCCAACACAAATGCTTCCCTTGCCTCTGCAGCCCTGGGATTGGAGGAGCCCGAAGCCTTCTCTCTGCTCCTAGGTTTCCCCACTAATCACTGTGTTCCCGAAGTGCTCTTCACTCTTCCTCTGCTTGCAGTGCCAGGAACAGCCTTTTCGGGTTTCTCTGCTTTTGTTTTGAGTCAATCTCCCTCTTCTCCCCTTCCCCCACCTCGGCTTGATCTGGGATCAGGGCTTTGCTCTGTGTGCTGGGCTGTGATGGATGCTGGGAGAGGTGTTGCAGAAGGGGGGGCAGGCCCTTTTCTAATACCAGGATCAAGTGAAAGTTAGACCCTTCCTTATGTCTGAGTCATTATCCCTGTTGTCACTACAATAAGAAGCACGAGGAGGAAGCATGCCCCTTTGCAGAAAGGGAACAGCTGGTGTAAATGCCAGCCAGGGCCAGCTTTGGCATTCGGCCTGGCTCTCACCACAAAGACTGAGCCTCGGTGATGCTCTGAAGGTGTTGTATTTCAATCAGCACCTAAGCTGGGTGGGATTTGCTGCTTACAGATAAGGTAGAATGGAAAGCTGTGGGGGAAGGGGAGGGAGGTGTGTTTGTCTTGGTGTGTGCTGGTTTGAGCAGCTCTAGGCTGTGCTTCCCATCTTACTGCAGAGCCTTGCTCAGAGTGAGCTTGGCCTTTGCTCTATACAATGATAAAACTGAGCACCTCCTGACTGTGGCTTTCCCCAAGTCCCTTGCTGTCATAAAAGTACTTTTTTAACCACTGTGGTTCTTTTAATCAAGCATACAACACAGGGCTCTTTTAAAAGGTAATTGGATGGTTTTTCTGGTGGCATAAAAGAAAAAAAATTAAAAGGTATTTGTGTCCCTGCCTCAGGTGCTTGGGGTGGCTTGGCCAGAGCTGTTTTCACATCTGAATGCTGGCCCAAGCTCATGAATGTGAAAACTGCAGCCAGACATTTCCTGTAACAGCTTTGTGGCTGAAAACCCCATCTGAGGACAGTTTCAGTGTAGGACATAGGGGAAGTCCAAGCCATCTAGGGTAGCTGAGGAGATGGTGCAACATTAGAAGGGCCAAGAGAGCTCAGCTCTGGGGTTTCTCCCTAATGCCCAGGTGTGTCATATGCTAATGACACAGATATTGCAATTGCTGCATTTATAAAGCCCTTGGTGGCAGGTGTGATTGTGTACTTGCTGGTTAATATACAAAGATTTCTTAAAATGCTCATGCCATTGCACCCCTTCCCCCAACCACTTTTCTTTCTGTATCCTGAGGGATTTTGATGCCACTTCCGGGTAGAGATAACTAAGCTGTGGTATCATGTTGATCTTGGATGTGTTTGGAGGTTCTGGTTTCCAGAGTTTGTGTTCCAGGGACAGTTTGGGTAAGGAGAGGAGGGCAAATACTCCCTGCTCCATGTCCACCCCCCCATTGGCCTGGGGATGCTGTCCTACAGGGGGGCAGCTCTGCTGTGCCACTGCTGTCACAGCAGCCTCTGGAGCACACTGGATTGATTGCAGGGCCTGGCTACAGTGACAAAGGCAGGATGTGGGCTCCCTGTACCTGCATCCTGGCAAAGCAGAGTCCCAAATGTTGTGTAAATGTCAATTTATGAGCACCCCACATTATTGCTTCAGATGTTTGCCAGGGGGACCCATGTGGGAATGCTCTACTGCCCAGAATGAGAGAATATGCAGAGGAACGTGTCTCTTCCAAATCATGGGAGTGTAAATGTGTCCAGGCAGTACTTTGCTGCTGGACCAAACTTTTCCTTGGTTTTAAATGTAGCTCTTAGAGGCATTTGCAGTGGAGAGTGATGTGTGGAAGACGTGTCTGCCTTGCAACCAGTGAGCAGCACAGAGCAGGTAATTTCCCAACAGCAGTCAGCTGTTCTTCAGGTTTCTCTCCACAAAGCAGCAGCAAATGAGCCTCTCTAAGACTGGGTCTTTGGGGGAAAGTCTCTTGACCGCAAGGCAAGGGGTAAACAGGACCAGCATGTTTCAGCATGGCCCATGGAGTTCCCTGCTGCTCTGTAGTGTCTCCCTTGCTCGGGCACTGCCCTTGTCTCTCTTACACACCATGATGCTGTTTCCAGTGTAGCCATCACCAGACTGAAGCATCAGCTTGATTTCACAATGTCTTCCACAAGCTTGTGTGTGGTCACAGGGGGCAGGAAGGGCACTTGTGTGTGGTGGGAGGAGGCTGTGCTGAGGACATTGCTCTCAGCAGCCCCAAGGGCACTCTGTACTCCTGGGAACAGCACAGAGCTTTGCCAAAAAGCTGGCAGCATGGGGCTGGGTTGTGATGCTCCCAAACTCCCCTGGTGTTTCCACAGACTTGTTCCTACTGGGCAGTTCAGCTGACTCTAACTTATTACAATAAACCATATTTATGTCCTTGGGGGTTTTTTGATGGAACTAAGCTCCAAACCAGCTGCTCTGGCCCAGCAAGATTCTGCTGCTCTGCAGCCAGAGAAGCTGCCCAGCCTGTCTTTATCCTCCCCCTTGGAGGGGTGCCCTGCCAAACAGTTAGCTGTTTCTAAAGACTGGTTATTGACATTTACACAAGGCTTAAAGAAAGAAA